CAGCCTCTGCCAGGCAGCAGGGGCGAAACCCTCCCTGGTGCCCGCCAGGCTGCACCGAAACCCGGCCGAGTTTGGCTGTTCCCTCCCACCACATCCCACCTTTCCACAAGAGCACAAAGAGCCGTTCGCCCTCGGTGGCCGGGCGGGAAGGCTGCCCGCTCGGAATGCGCCGCTGCTCTTTCCCATCCCCGCTCTCCCCTCCTCACCCTCTGTCAGCCCCGGAGGCAAAAGGCTCCCGGGAGAAGGTTGTGGTCCCCGCCACAAGCCACCGGCACTTCCCCTCCCAGCTCCCCCGCTGTCTCTCGTGGGAGCGGGTCGCTGCCAGTGGATCACGACCCAAGCGGTGCGGGGATCCCCGAGGAGCTCTGTCTGCTTTGGCACCCGCGGGCTGCGACACTCACGGAGCAGAACGGGATCCAGCGGAGCGTGGAGAAAGAGCCCGTTTGGAAAGATTTTGATATCTGTGGACACGCAGTGGACGTGTATTTTTTTGGATCTCAATAATTTAAGTGACACCGCGCTTCCAGTAAAATACGCGGTTCCACTAAGAGGAAATGTTTTATAACAAAGTGCTCACTACCTGTTGCAACGCTTGTTGGGAGAATGATATCCTATTAATATTTTAAACCTCAGGGCTGGAAGAGGATCCCCGCAGTGTTTTATTCATCCCCGGCTAGAAACTGCAGTCCGAGGCTTTCATCGAGACTCCAGCAGACCCATAAACACGGCCCTTCTCTGCACGCGCAGATAATTTGGGGGCTAGTTAGCCAAGAGAACTTGAATCATAGTCATGAGGCACAGGCAAAGCATTCATTCCTGAAAAACCACTGGCTCCCAAAATACTCCGAGCTCGTTTGCAATCCTGCAAATTGCTAGCCAACGGCAGGCGAAGCAGAACACAGAAACAGGCTTGAAAAATGAAGTAAAACCCAGGGTGCCTTCATTAAGGGGAAAGTGTTTTGCACGACAATGCTGTATCGATAATGAAAAAGCCAGCTGCTAACAGCTCCTGCCACCCTCTTTCCTTACAGCTCAATATTATTAAACATAATTTGACTAAAGCGTTGAACATTTAACTTGCTAATTATCTTCCTCCTCACCAATTCGGCTGCACTGAAGTCGCAGCTTTGAAATTGCAGCCGATCTGCTTTAATGTTCCAGGGCTGTTGATGGAGGGCAGGGAGGGGGGACGAACTCGAGACACACTCTTTGAAGCACACGCATCCAAAACACGTTTGCAGCATCCCAAGTTTTCCAGGGGAAAACAATTGCTCCCCCTCCCCCCACCAAACACGCCCCAAACCTGCCCCTGAGCACTCATCCCTTCGTTAAGGGTACGCTGACACTGCAGCGGTGTTTTACTCATATTAATGACGGCTCAGCCAGCAAGGACCCTCCCTCGCTGCTCCCCGGTTTTGCCGGGCTCCTTCGCAAGGCACCTCTGGCTGCTGCAAACCCTCGTGCAGCACGTGAGAATGCAGATGGAGCCATTTCCTTCTGCTTGATTTGCTGAACCAAGCAAAATACAGGAGAAGCTTTGATTACACCAGCTGGTTATTTTGTAGGTATATATAAATTACAGCAAATACAGGAGTTAGTTTTTAATTGCATTGTAACGTGCTCATAATTTCCCCAAACATTCACCTTCTGGCCTGAAATACAGAAGAGTTGATTTCCCTGCAATTGAGAAGTGAGAAAAAGAGATAAAAAGGAGACACCACCATGCCCTTGAGCAGAAGTTGTTGGCGCTCGGTGAGACGAAGGGACCGCGTTGCTGGGGGGACAGAAACCCGCTCGCCCGGGGACGGCGAGTGCATGGACAGGGCCAGCGTGGGAAAGCGGCCGAGCCCTCCCCAGCCCAGCAGCTCCCACAGAACACCCGGCCGGGATCGGACCCTCTCCGGCAGCTCGGACACGGCTGCACCTCCTCTACCTGCAGGTGACCAGAGGCAACGTAAAGGTATTCAGCACCAACCGACGGAGCCGGATCACGTGGCACCGACGCGCAGGAACCAACGTTCCCGTCTCATTCAGCTGTGTGCACAATGGGCAGCGACCCCTCGGCTGGGTCCCCACCGAGCCGCCCGGGAGCACCGCACAGACCCAGTCTGGCTGGGGCTGGTGAGGGACGCGGGGTCTGAGTCCCATGGGCTCTGGGCCATGCGAGCCTCGGGTCTTCTCCACCAGTGGGATCCCCGGGTGTGGGACAGGAGAATCCGGAGTGTCCTGCAGCTCGGAAAAGCCTCGGACAGGGGAGTGCAAAGGCTGTCGGCGGCACGGGGGGCTTTTGCTGCCGCTGCCCTGT